GTTTTCCGTACAAACATCCCATTCTCTTGACAGAGCTCGATAAAGAAGCGATGAAGGGGTAAGACCTCGATTCGTTTTTTTTTTAACACCGCCCCTCCCCAATTCTCTATTACCCCTAGCTTGCACACTAGATGTGTGCATTCACTAACTGAATCCAGTCATTCCACAGTCGTATGCAAGAATACGTTATGAAACACATCTCTCTCTCTCTATCTCTCCTCCGGTTGACCCTCATCCCTACTTGCACACTCAATGCGTGCTTTGAATTTGAACGGTTGATTTTGCCTCGTAAGGCTCGTATAGCTCCTCCTCCTCCGGCCACCCCCTGCGATTTAATCTTAACGCAACCCTTCCCCTTTCACTCCAGTCAACGCAGGAAAGTATCTACGTTAAGTAAGTTTATGTATGCTTCTTGCACCATACCCCCCCCCCCCTCCGATCACCCTCTCAGATTTTATCTTTATACAACCCTTCCCTTTCACTCCAGTTAACGCAGGAAAGTATCTACGTTAAGTAAGTTTATGTATGCTTCTTACACCATACCCCCTCCCCCTCCGATCACCCTCTAAGATTTTATCTTTATACAACCCTTCCCCTTCATTCCAGTTAACGCCGGAAAGTTTAGTGTGCGTCAGTGGGGCATCACTTTTTTCTGGAGCAATGCGCTGAGGCGGCGCTGGAGATTAGACTGTCGATATATCGTCAGATCTTGTTAGCCATGTAACTCCCCGCTTGGAGAAAACCCTTGAAGTACATCCTTCCTTTAGCAACAGATACCGCTGATGAAAGCCTCCAAAAAAGGAACAAGTGCCCACAAGACGGAACCTCGTTGAGGGTGTCGAAATGCCATGGTTGTCAGGCAGAGAAACGGAGCCAAAAGACGACGCCAGCCAGAGAGTAAAGAAAACACGAAACAGGGTTTATGTCAAGTTTTCTCTTCTCCGTTCATTCTGTAATTTAATATTGTCAATGTCTCTGGTTTGAATTCGCAGTGCGTTCCATGATTAATGATTACAGATGATGGTCAAACAAAGAATAGTGTAGAGAAGGTGTCTGAGGTTGTTGAAAACTTTGGACGTTTTTCCGGGAGAGCGGCAGAACAGATCACTGAAAGGGAGCTGAAGACTTCATAGATTGTAATCAAAGGTTTCCACTATTATTGTGACAGGAATAAAAAGACCCGTTGCATTATTACCTACGCTATTATTACTTTGAAGGCAATTAGCCGTACATTAGTAGTTTAGCGCAATTTTCCAATCGTTCATTGTGCGTTCACTTTGTGTACAATATCACTTACGCGTGGTGCGTCAAAGACAGTGGTAATCGGTGACGTAGCCCTGCGTCAGCAGATTACTCTTGCATGCAACGTGTATAAAATATACATGTGTCTGCTGATGACCAATAGACGCTCTTTCTGTGATGTCGCATGCTGTGACGTCATCCATAGTAGATCGACATGATTGAAAGATTATGTTGATGTTCTCCTTTAAATCTCATTTGTCAAACATCATTACATAAAAAATATGAATTTGTGATGACAAGAACCCAACGTGACATCACACCCCATGAACGCTGAATAATTAACATACAATGGGGTTTTCCACGACCCTTAACACACCCTCGGTGGTAAACGCCTCCCATTTATTTTCCTTTTAAGCCAAAAAAGGAACGTTTTGCCGAGTGACATGTTGATCTACTCTGCTCTTACCCCGCTAATTTTCTGGAACCTTTCACGTCCTTATTTTGTTATCCGCTCTTCCTCCCTCGATATATCGCACGATCATTATCACGATCTATCGAGATAAGTTCAACGAGAACCCAAGGACGTCGGTGCCACTATCCTGTTTGGAAATACTTCGTGACATGCCTAAAACATGACGAATATCCAATGGGGAATACTAATGACATCGCGCCGCGCGATGGGGGCGAAAGGGGGAGGGCGTGCCCCCCTCATTCTACTCCCTTATTGCAGAGGACTAGAAATCGCCTTTGTTATGACTCATAGTCATAATAGAGCTGACTTTCTTTGGAGCTGAATCCACTCTCAATTGTAGTGAAATTCACCAAGAGTGGTTTAATGATTACTCTTTTGAGAGTGGGTTCCTGTTTAGACATTGATTTCCATTCCGATTGTAATGATTCCTACATTGACTCCCGTAAAGTTGATCTTCACTGCTGGACATATACGAATTTTCTCATTTGCGAGTTGTTCCCAAGAGCAGACCTACCTATTATGTATTTACAGTTGCATTTGGAATAGATTGAAATAGGTTTGTCAATGAGGGTGATTAGAGACCTTTGGTACACCTCTAAAGCCTGAATTATGGGGTCGCAAGCCGATTACGCCCCCGTGAGTTTTCTCGACTCTGCGTCGTCATTAATCAAGATCCGTTTCTCTTCATTTCGTTTCCGAGTTCGATTACTCATTTGCGCGCTCCTTTTCGATTTTCTTTCTCTGCCTTCTTCGATTATGGACCCGCGAGCGTGAGTCCGATAAATGGTCTTATTATGATCCAAGCCGCAATCGGAACACGATCTTAAAGTTAAAGGGAAAGTCTACCCTGATATTAAGTTGGTTAATTAGAAACAGAAATGAGAGGAACAGCTACGCCAGTGAAAGTTTGAGTAAATCTGATTAAAACAAAACAGTTCTGACTTTTTGAAGTTGTGATCAATCATAAACAAATTGACAATTCTGTGACGTATCTTACGAGGCCTCTCTTAATTGCTGTGTACTGAAACATTTTTTTGTATTCTCCTTAAAGAAAATTTTCAATCATACATGCGCCCAAATGCAAATTGTTTTTTCACAACCCCTGTATGAAGAAAAAAATCAATTCCGTCATCGATAGTTATAAAATAAACGTTTACAACATTTTGTTTACAGAGCAAAGTGGAGAGGAGCTCGCAAGATACGTGACATTGTTGCCAATTTGTGTTTTCCTAATAACAACTTCAAAAAAATGTATAACCTTGCCTATTTATAGTCGGATATTGCTCAAACTTTTACTACTTTGTTCCTCTCGTTTTTCTGCTTTTATTGATACCAGATAATTATCAGGGTGGACTTCCCCTTTCAAACAAATGAAATGTCATGCTGTTAAATGGCCGACGTCCATGTACGTTCATTCCCTGGTGGAAGGAACTTTTCTCCCCGTGGATTTCGGACAGATTTCCGAAAGTTTCCGAGAGTTTCCATAAAGGGAAATCTAACCCATTTTGTTTCCACATTAAAACTACATTGCAAACAGCTGTGAGCTTGCTTTTAGAAGAAAAATTTATAACGAATGGCAAGGATATGATTCTACCTTGGAGGGATTTGTTCAAGTGATATTATCATACTCTTCTCTTGTATAATTTTGTGCAAAAGTTATTTCAAAAAATAAAAACACGTATCAGAAATGTTGACTTGTATGCCATGAGGGCGCTATCAACCTACAGAAAGTGCGCTAAAATGCATGTTACTTCGTTCCCTCTCCTACCAATCGACATCGTGGATTCATGTTCTGAAGTGATTACCTATATGTATTCTTTAACCGGCACCACTCACGCCCAAACCACCGTACATAATTATCATACAGTTTAGGGGTTCAGTTGCACGACCAAATTGGCAGCTTCATGGTTTGATCCGCGTTTCCATCCAAACTTAATTATGATAAATTGATTTTTCGACGTGACTTTCTTTCGTTATAAACTGAAAAACAGACTCCAGTTGCGGAAAGTAGTTTCATGCATTACCACTGATGTCCATGGAAGCAGGATTATATTCTGTCTTTGGAGCACTGTGAAATTACTGGTCCAAAGTGTCTAAAATGGTGTTAATCTGCCACTTTGTGTTTCTATGTATAGCAAGTAAGGTCTAGACTATAATTAAATAGAACATAAAACAAGAGCGTCGTGTGAGCAAAGTGAAAGTATGGTGTGAGGAAGAGAGGAAAGTAGAGGGAAGTTGTAAAGAATTATTGTGTCGTCTGCGTTTTTCTGTCGCCAAATATCTTTTTATTGAGTAGCTGCATTTAATATCAGCGAAGCCTCGTAAATGGACCGTCTCGGTTCTCGGAACACGCCACCGATACGAGTTTGACGTTATGCTCTGCGCGTGCAGCCCGTTTAGTAATTTAGCTCAAGTTGTTTCGTCTTCCTCTTCTCTCTCTTACTCTCTCTCTCTCTCTCTCTCTCTTTCCCTCCCTTCCTACCGTGATATATTACGTACTTTATTCTTAATAACGCATAACCATAATCAGCAATATGAGGTGCAGCGAAATGTGATCACATATGTCCTCTAGAGAGCGAGGCGAATCGGCGGGATTTTCTTTTTTGATTGCCGCATGCGAGCGCGCGAGTGGAGATAAATTGATGCCGACCGTCGGAGCTTTGAGGGGGAAAAAATTATCGGAGATGGGCGACCGTTGGTTGAGTAAAGCGCTGGAAATGGTGATAAAGGGCAAGAGGGAACGAGTGATGTTGAGAGAGGGAGATAGAAGGATAAAAGACGAGGAATATCGAAGAGTGTAAGATGACGACCGTGTTCAGTAAAAGGAGTAGAAAATAGCAGACGTAACAGAAAGGAGGAAAGGGAGACAGTAGAAAATATATTTTAACGGATATAAGCAAGGAATATACAAGGCAGGAGGATGAAGGCGGATAACTTTTTGGTAAAGATATTCTTTCCCTGCAAGTCTTCTTTTCACCGAGGTATGACGGGTTAATTAAAAACAAGTGACGAGAACCCGTGATGCTATCATACTTCGATAATTTCTGTCGTAAATACCCTTCGTGATCAAATGCTACGCCCCATGATCAATGCATATGTAATCTTGATTGGAGATGGATGGAAGATCGTTCCAGTGACTATATACCTCCGTTGAATACTGCAGTGTAGTTGAAGGAATCATCACATTTTTTTAATTACTGAGTACGAACGTAGGTATCGCTTTCATGTTGACGAAACTTAATTTGTGTCCATTTATTTATTTGTATTTCTATTTTCGTTCTCTTTGTTCTGCAGAATGTTGAAAGCTGGTGACTCCTTCCTCCAAATGGCGTCTGGTAACCTGGTGGAAGCGCTCATCAGACGGACGCTCCTAGAAGACAGCATTCCTACAAGCCATGACCCTTCACCCCGGAGCCATGACCCCTCACCCCGGGTCGACGAGGGGCCAAAGGTCAAGAGCAAGAAGCGACCTCGAGATGGCACCGGTGACGGCGCTGTAGGGGGTCAGAAGGGAGCGAAGACAGGAAAGGGACGGGCCGATGGAGGAAAGACAGGAGCTAAGAAGAGCTCTGAAGCAAATAGCTCCAAAAAGGACAAGGGACCCGAGTCGAAAAAGACAAAACAGAGTGAGAAAGTTGAGATTGTGGACGATAGGAAAGAGAAGAACAAGTCAGACTGCAAACAAAGTGAAGCGGAAGAAAGAGCAGAAGTTTTAGATAAAGATGATGCTCGGCCGATGGAAGGAGAAGCGAAAGCGGAGTGCTTGCAAAATGGTGAAAAGACACTTCTAAATGCCAAAAAGGTGCTCATGGAAAATAACAATGAGGATACTCTTTCTAAGAAGCCTGAGGGTGAACCAAAAGAACTTGATGATCTTGGAGGAAAAAGCGGCAATATCGCGGATGTTTCTAGTTCTGAGGACACTTCTAAAGCAGCTGCTGGTAAAGATACCATTGTACCCTCAAAGGAACGGACTGTAAAAGGCCATCAGAATGAACGTACTGGCAAAGCACCAGAAGCATTTCCGCATCAGCAGCCGAAAGAACTTCCCCTGAGATCACCAGACCAGGGGAAATCGATCAGATCACATACGATAGGTGGGCTGACCATTGCCAGTATGATAGAAAAGACGTTAGATGCAGGGATCATTTCTTCTCTCCGTGGCGAAAGATTCAAGGACATTATGCTACCAAAGTCCAAGGGGAAGGACAGAGTAAGTCGAGATAAGGACGACGGGTTTCCAATGAAAATGGTCAACCAGAAGAAAGATGGCAAATCTGAACCTTCTGTGACATCTTCAATGTCGTCATCGACTTCATTGAGCGTCGCGCCAGCTGTTTCGAACAAGTACAGCGTCGAGCGTATCCTTGCCGCGCCAACACGATCGGATAACCCCAAGAAAGACCTTCTCCTCAAGGGTATCATTCCCGCCACAAGAAACGTTGAAGGTCAACGTACTTTTGATCCCAAGCTGGTGACGTCATCTTCGCGAAAGTTGATGGCGCCGTTTTCGATTGATATACCAATTGCTTCGAGCGAGATGCCTTCGAGTTCGTCGGTGACCTCGTCGGGCAACTCGATGGGGAATACCCCTCCCGGGTCGGACAACTGCATGGTGTCCCCGGACGGAAGCGATGAATCCATGTCGGGCAACCACAGCGGAGTGAGCGACGGCGGGGCTACGAGCCCGTCGCCTGGGGATGGGAGCACGTCGAGCCAGAATAAGAAGAAGAAGAGGAAGCGATGCGGGGTTTGCAAACCATGCCTGACCAAGCAGAACTGCGGAGAGTGTTCCAGCTGCAAGAACAGACGGACCGGGCATCAGATATGCAAAATGCGGAAATGCGTGGAGCTACGAAAGAAAGCATTGGTAGGTCGATCTGTTCAGGAAATTATAGATTTGGAATAACTCGGTACTGTGAACAACTCTTACTCGGCAAAAAATAGAGACCGAGATACTAGTAGGCAAAAGAACTTTCCCATTTTCAAGATAACTGTATAGGACTGTGTAAAATAATTACTGAAGATGAAATAATCAAAAATTCTAAAAAGTTAAACTCCACAAAAACCTGAAAATCAGGGCCAATTAGTGATCCGATGTGTTGCTAGCACGTCACCTCTTCAAACCTCATTGCTACGCGATACCGATTTGGCATGGTGCCGAGTAATTCCGACTCTAAATAGGAGGCGTCTCTACTAGACTCTAGAGGGGTGCGACATTGGCCTTTAACCATCTAAAATCTCAATGGACGTTCGGGATTCTATTGAAAAGATCTGAAAGAAGAATCAGAATTTATGTCGGTGAACTTGAATGTCGATTACCCTGACTGCATAATGTAACGGCCAGTTTTCTATTAGCAAAATGCAGTTTTTATTTGTTGGATATTTTCAGAAGATTCTTTTGGAAATACCCTTTCCCTTTTCAAAAATTATATATCGACAACTCTGACCTCTGATCAAAATATATCTCACCCCTCCCCCGACTTGTTTTATTTATTTATTTTTTTTCAACGAATATCAAAGACTAAACTATGAGTATGTCTTATTGATCTGAAGTTTTTCACTCGTTTGAATTTATCTGAACTGTCAGAGAGAGAGAGAATAAAAATAGAAAAGATTGTGCCAACCTTTGCAAGCTCAACTTTCCGATCTTTGCACCGTATGAGCATGCCAAAGTCAGTCAATTTTGCTGTGAGATCATTTTTGTGATATCGCCCTCTTTAGTTATAGATAGGGGAAAGAACATGTCCGCGTGCATAGGAAGCAGACAACAAAGCCGGAAAGTGAAGATTGACATTCCAAATTCTGTTTCATGTTTCCTATTTACGTGAGTATGCCTGTTACAAATTGTTAGAAAATCACTTTTTGTTTATGCTGTTTCATTTAGATGTGATTTAAAATTACATTGAGCTACTTTTTCGGGTAAACAAGGTCACATTTTGGACCGTCAATCGGTGCCGTTGTTGACTCGTCCAGAGCAGCATGCAATGCATGCCTACTGACTGATATTGACTGCATAATGTTAATGGGCTGGCTAGCGCCGTACGGATGTGCGGCATCTGGGCTCTCCTCGGCAGGGCTGGGGAATGGAGGAAACGTCTGGCCTGACCGATTATAAAGAGTGATCACTGATCAGTAAAACTTAGTTATATGAAAATATGAATTGTAAATTTGCATCATTTTAGATCTTCTATTCTAGTTTACTAGTTTACTAATGTGAAGTATAAATACTTCACAGGTGTCAGGAATGTGATGTGGTTCTGATGTGATTCTCAAAAATTATGAAGAAAAACAAGACAGTGTTAAAAAAATTTAAGTGGACTCGAGAGAAGATAGCCGTTACTTTGTCTTTGAAAGGTGAAATGATGATGGAGGTGGATGATCTACATGTATGTATGTTTCATGGTGATTCTGCTGTGATAGAAAGGAGGTATTGCACATGAAAATGAAGAAGGTCTGCATGTGCAACGTAGAATCCAGCTGCCAGGTTCACTTCTCAGCTCAATTTGAATCGGGCAATTTAGTAATGGTGTTGTAATCGAATCAGGGGCCTATTTCTTCCAATTTAAAAGAAATTGGGCTATGAATTTGAACCACTGATCAATAATCGGAAGATAGAATAGCAAATAGCAATGGGAAAAATGTGTGCTGAGGTTGAAGTTAACACATTTTGGGCAATCAAATACTAAAAAACATGCAGACCTGGGATTATTTTGTCATTTGGAGTTGTTGTAGACGAGGATTGTTGATGTTTAGTTTAGAGCCTTTTTGTGCATCTGATACTATAAACAATTATTTTAAAGTTAGTCGAGGCAAAACATACCAGCCCCCATTTTGGATTATAAAGACATCACTTAAGGCTAAGGAGCTAATAATCCAAGGTGTGACTATGAGATTTATTTTAGGTATTACAGTGCTATTATTCGCCCCTGGTTGGGGGCAGATTTTCAAAGGAATTTCATCAGAATTCCCTCCTGATTTACCAATTCAATACCAATTTCAGGAACCTTATTGGTGATCGATCATCAGCATTATTGGAAATGAGAATTGAATTTGTGAATGAGAACCTGTTAAGCATTTAAGTTGTGTGGATGCACCACTTGTCGCTGCTCTGCATGCATTAGCTTGGTAGCGTGGAGAGTCACGTGACCAAAAACCTGATTAGTTCACCAGTGTTTTGAGCACAAGCATTTAAACTGCAAAAAATGGTTGAGTTTCTGTTCCATGGGTGGGTTTTTTGTAATGTTTATGGGTAGTTGCCTGGTAACTTCCGGCAAAACTCTGGAATGTGAGAAAAACCGATGACGTAAATACAGCTAATGCAGACCTAAACTCATTACCGATAATGGCTGGTACCATGTTAAGACTGGTAGTAGAGGCTGAGGCTCTAATTTCCAAGAAACCTCTTTGCTGTATTGTGTCTTGTGGAACAGGTGGCATGTGAGTGTGTGTGTGTATTAGGGTTTTACAGACGTGTATCAATCAGATATGATTATTTACATCTGGGGACCGACCTTTAAACGTCACCATCCGAAAGATGGTTTTGAACCTGCGTCCTCGGCTGAATCAGTTTGTAACTTCCATTGTTAGCTGGATTACATCTTTATCTCCCTCTGTCTCTCATTTTGACTGGATTAAATGAAGAATGTTTTAGTCATTGATATAAGTATTAGAGTACTCGTAGACCCATTATAACACGATCTCATAGATTGTAATTTGGGTCTCTGGCTGCACGGTGAACCTCATGTTTTATTGTAATCAATCGGTTTACTAAATGTATTCAAATTTATGGATGTTTCTTTCTTGAAGACCTAGTGATGAGATAATATTTGGAATCCAGTCTGCATACTTTACGTTTTGCGTTGTTTATAGATTGTAGAGTACGGTAGATGATAAAATCATACAATACAGTTGCAGAAAATTTAGGGTTAAAGGGCAATCCAACCCTTGTAATTGCTTCATTTATGGAAAAAAGAAAAAATAAGATATATAAGTAACAGAATGAGGAAATTTTGAAATAAATCGGAACAATAATAAGAATGTTATGAATGTTTAAAATATGAGATCACTAAGTCTATAGGAATTTTAAATTGGCCGTTTGGTCACTGGAATAAGACGTAGGACGCTGATAAATCTCACATTTGCCGTGTACACAAATATCATTAATTCCCGTTTTTCTTGTGCCTTCTCCCTTGGGGCTCTACTCAAAAGATATTGTCGATGGCATGTTATTATGGGTCCTCTAGAGAGAATATCATTTTATCATTTTTTTTCTTTATATCTTTCCTCGTGTTATTCTTTGTTTTCCTTATATCATTTTTTTTCTTCTTACTTACACCCTGTATGTTATCCTTTTTTCCCCCCGTCTTTCCATGATCTATTGTTTACCATTTTCTCTTTCTGTCTTTCGTAATTCTTTGTTTTTTCTTCCATCATTTCTTATGTTTTGTTTGTTGCTATCATTCTATCATTTTTCTCTCTATCTTTCCTCATTTTTTTTTTATTTCTTCTATCTCCTTTTCTTTTGTAATTCTTTGTTTTTATCATCCTATCAACCCCTTTGTTAGTGTTTGTTTTTCCTTCTATCACCTTTTCTTATGTTATTCTTTGTTATATCATTCTATCACTTTCTCTTTTTGTCTTTCCTTATGTTATTCTACATCTTCCTTCTATCACCTTTTCTTACCTTCTCTTGTGTTATTCTTTGTTTTTATCATTCTCTTTCTGTGTTTCCTTATTTCATCTTTCAGTTATTTCTTCTCTTACCGGTATGTTGCTGTTTGTTTTTATTCTTGTACTGTGATCTCTTTCCCGCCAAAACACACTCACTTTCTGTTGAAGTTTGTTTCCTGGCATGGTTTGGGTTCACACTGCAAGCTAGATCGGTCAAGAGCAATCTAGGAAGCAAACCGGTCCTGTGGACCACATACTGTAGCTTCCTTGCACGGGTGTGTTCTCACTCACCGTTCGACCGCTCTAGCATCCAGGAAGTGAGTGAGAATGGGGTCTTGAAGAGAAAGAGGATATTATGGATAGGAAAATTTTCTGTATCATTCATTGTTTTTGACAGCGCAAGTATTAACATACGGTATGTACATGTACACGTCCCAGCCTTGTCTGTTCTCAATTCTCTCCATGTGATCATAGAAAAAATATAGTAATACCCTGTGCTATTTTCATAATTATTCCTTCGGGATGTACGATAAGGCTGCTGTAAGCATTGTTAAAAATAGGCATTACAATCACCATTAACAAAGAGATGAACTTTTGTTGATAGGTGTTCCATTCACCAATCGGTTTAGAAATGCAATGGCAACTTTTTACGGTCGTTTGTTTCAATGTAACTGGATTAATTCAGCGGGGCACTAATGTTCTGCTGCTTAAAGTAGAAAAATTATCTGAACTTTAGAAACGCAGATTCCAACTAAGTTTTGTAAGGCATTCAACACTTTGCAGGCCTAACAAGGTTTACATCGGCAAGAATGAAGGAGCATTCACGTTTAAGACAGTGGTCAAAGTTTAGTTAGGGAAGCTATGATACCGCTTTGTCAAGTAGCGCTTGCGTCTCGGCTAGCCGATCAACCTGTTGTCGGCCGAACCAGTTTGAGGCAAAATGTTTGGGCTCACGTGGACTCCGTGTTTACGGGGAAAGCCCCAACTTTAAAGCCTTTAGCACCAGCTGTAAAGAAACAAACAACTAATCCTACCAGTCACAACACACGAGGAGTTATGGTTTCTCTATGTGCGACTTGGCACAGGTTCCATGTCCCCATGAAAACATGGAATAGTCCAAGATACTATCAACAGTGTTGATGCAACTGGCTGCGAGCATTATTATGAGTCAGGTTGTAAAATACGAGCAGAAAACCCCCCTATTTGGGCGAAATGGAACTGTCTGTCTGGCCTGGTGATGGGGATGTGTGTGAAGCTGATATTTTTAGGAGGGAGAAGAGAACAAAGAACAACCAATCAGAATAGAGGGTTTCCTTGCATGCAGCTGCTTCAACTGGATAGCTAATGAGCTGTGTACCTCTGACATGAAGTCAATAGGGTGTGTGGCAAAGGCTATGAGAGTATTCTGTGTGTGTTTTGTGTATGTGTGTTTCCACTGTAATCCACACACTCCATTGTAGTGAATAGGCCTTTGTATAGTTTTCCACTGTGTGTAGTCACCAGCAGATGTTTGTAATGTAAGGCAGCCTAGCTATACACAGTGGCCAGGGTAGTGATGCCCTTTAAAACTAAGGTGTGGGTTTTTGTGCTGAAAAATGGACAACAAAATGGTTTCTTTCAAGGCCTGGAATTATATTCAAGTGGACAATTGGCCCAATTTTTGCTGATTCACTCCGGTGAATAGCAGAGTTGTTAACACCGTGTGCGTTTGGTGTGTGGAGTAAAACCGGAGATCTGATATTACTTGAACAAGCTGTGTAAAATGACATCAAGATCTGTGGGTTCATACAGTTGACATTGTATGCATGCCACAAATTCCATTCATAGATAGCGTGTTTTGTATACAATCCTGTCTTCGCGGACAGCAGCTCATACGAGGCTCGCTTGCGCAACCCGGCCAGGCTTGTATGTGTTGTTGATCAACGAAGATCCCGTAGCACCACACGTGGAAATTTCATATTTACCGCGGGATCTGTAATGTGATTTCCTTGTTTTGTACCGGACAGTCAATCTTATTACCAATTGATGAACCAATTTAGGATTACATATACCAGTAATTGCATCTGAATTCCTCTCGTATCACGTTTTTCCTGGAAAACATTCAACTTTGTACCGCGTGGACAAACCAGTAATTACTTCAGGAATAGGCAAAACAAGGACGGCTCTTCTTTTCCATTTCCGATTCGCTACTCGAGGAACCAGGAAATATAGTATAGTAGTAGTACTCGTTGTGTTGACATCACGTGATCGTGATGGTGAGTGGAAGAGTAAGCGTGACTTAACATGAACTGCAAGTAACAGCTGAAGACGTTCTCCACCTATTCCCAGCAATTAACTCTCCTTACGATCGAGTCTCCGTGTACAAGTGGCTTAGTCAATTACGGCCTTTTACTCACAGGAAATGGCTTGCTGGCTGCGAATTTCCGCGAGGGAATGATCGCTGGGGCCTCCCCTAAGTGATTTTGAGGGCTTGTTTTCATAGAAGCAATCAACTACTCTAAACTGTGTTTTGTCAGGGACTTTCTTTGATCTTTTAACACTATGCAGGCGGCGGCGGCATCAGGAGCCGGCCAGCAGCCTACCGGTCTCTTGGATGGAGGGTCGGCCGCGGGGTCACCAAGAATGAAAGGCGTTCGGCCCCCTTCCCTGCCTACGGTAAGTCGCAGCGATTGTCCTTCAGGGGGGCGTTTCACAAAACTTTTCATCAGGGACAAATGACAATTTTTGTTATAAGCTACTGAAATCCGTGCTTCTGATTGGTTATCAACAGATTCGTCACTGATTTTGTCATTTATTATTGAAAGAAGGCTTTGTGAAACGGGTCCCTGGTGATAAAAATTGTGGAAATAGAGAACAATATTTCGGGAATGGTGAAAATTATCCAGAATGAGTGGAGCATATTGATTGAAAATCAATATCAGCACTTGGCTTATCGGTAAAACCTGTTGTTATGGCCACCAAAACTTTGAGGGCACCTATCTATAGTGGCCGCTTTTATTCTTTCCCCTGTTCGCTTTGTACAAGCTATCTAAAGAGTGTTGTTGTTTTATTTTTGATGGCGTGTATCATTTATTTATGAATATTTACGCCTTTTTCACTTGGGTGGCCTTTGTAAAAATGTTAAAAGAAACATCATAAAAGATACAGGTGAGGGTAGGTTTTTGTTGTCAGAAATGTTTGATGTTGCCGAGTTAACATATCATTTTGTATGTTTACTGCAATTACAATTTAATTCAAACTTCATTTTTGCACATTTTAAAGTTTGGTTGTGTCTCAAGTTTCAGTGATCAATGACCTTGCTATCTTCATGTCAACACTTGCGTATTTATTGGTGAAGTTGTAATTTGACAGTAAAGGACAGATTATTTTCACTCATTTGCTTAGAATGGCATTAATGCATATTTTATAGAAATGTGTATTAATTGTAGCTTTCTGGACTTGTCATCTTGAAGTACAAAATCAATTTAGGTACACAGAGCCATCATGAAATTTGAATAATGTAAATTTGTCTGACCAAGACTGCATTAAATCAATTTTTATTCCACAACCAAACTGCCACAGCAACATCAAAAGAACGTAGATCAAGAACAATTTCACCGTCAATAAGACATTTTCATAGTGTATACAAATAAAATGTACCGGTATGTACAAGTTTGTATTAGCAACAGGCTATTACATTCACCTGTTGTATACATGTATATTGTATTTCAAAATTTAAATACAATTACTTGTAACAGTTGACTGAAATGATTTGTAACTGCATACATGCCCACTGTTCAGATTAAAGAGGGACATTGCTCTTTTTGGGAGAAGATAATTATCATTTTAATACAGGTGTTCCTCTTCTTGTACAAATTTGTCTGTAGTATTGAATAGGAGAGTTAGGATTTTTCCTCTTTTTTTTTTAAATAGCATAATTTGTACAGATTTCTGATTTTCAAATGTTGGCATGTATGTAACTGTAGGCACTTCACCAAGATGTACATGTATGGATTGAGTTTGATTACAATGTACATTAAGAAAATGAGCTTTTTGACAGAGTGCTCAACATTAGAGAAAAGCAGCAGGCCAAGTTATCTGTTACCAAAGAACTTGATTGGATCAACACCAACATGAAAATGAACCTTGGTCTAAAAAGTACTGGTAGGCATTTTTTGTTGTTTCATAATTGAAGATGCTTTTGGCTCCTTCATCCCCAAACCCTTAAATCTGTCATATAAAGATATGATAATTCAATTCTTGAATTGAGAAAAACAAATCGTAATAAAACTAATGAAACAGGTGGCAAGTTGGCTCAGTTGGTAAAGTGTCTGCCCATTGAACAAAAGATTGTGGGTTCGAAATTCTACCCAGGCGGATGACTGAAGCCTGCACTCTGTGTTAACGAGCTCCTCCCCTGTTTCATAGTCGAAGGCTATGGTACAGTGTAAAAACACTATCCCTCGGATAGGACGTTAAATGGAGGCCCCGTTTAGGAGAAACACCACCTTTGCACGACAAAGAAGCCACTGAACAGCATGTATTCGTGTAAGAGTAGGGGAAAACCCCAGTTTAGTTGTCCACCTGCACACCCGCAGTCAGTTATACAGGGAGGAGAGACCCAAGGGTTACAGTGATTCAGTTTGCTTTTCGCCTCTCAGGCAAAGGCGACGCTAATACTAATAATGATTATAATAATACATGGAGTTCTATCCCCATGTTGGTCTACTGATGACAACACCAGATATTTTTAGGTTCCATCAGTGCTTTCCTAATTATGAATTTCAATGTAAAATATGATCTTAAAGGAACACAAATAAGAGCATCGTTCATACAGTGTATCTATCCCTAATGAAACACACAATTTGCCTGTACAACCTCAGAGATAAAGAGAGATGCACAAAAATCATAACCTGTTAGTTTATATATTTTAGAAAAGTTTTGTAAAGGACTAAATACTGGTTAATATACTTTACTTTTCCTTATGTGTGTATCACTTTCATTTTACCTCCATGTTTACATGTAGTTTTTTTTATAAACAATGGATGTGTTCATCAAGTCAATACAAAATGAATTTCTTTTGAAAAGACAGCATACATATACTCATACACACACTGATACTCAATTACTCATTCTAAAAGAAAAGGTCTTAATAGGATCACCAGTATGCTTGACATTGGATGTACATTACCCTACTTTTAAGCCTAAAACACAGAGTGTAACAAATATTGATATAAAAGATGAAGCAACAACTTTGCTAAGACTGCAAACAAGAACCTACAAAGAAGATGATGTGTAGAAGAGCATTGATGCCTACATGTACATGTAATTGTCAATACTTAATTATTCTTAGTGTACAAGACGTGTGACACAACTTGATTAAAACATCAGGTACTATCTAAAGTCATTCATACATCGATAATTCCCCTTCCCCCCATTAAGGTTTAACAAGTGATTTTTCCATTACAAAAGTTAATTTTGTGGGAAATTGATGTCATTTGTCGGCCAATTGCCCTGCAGACGTTATTTATAGCTGGGCCTATTCCTAATATAAACAACTTGGAGTCATCTTTGTAATGTTCTCTAGTTTTGGATTGATTCCAAAAGATTTATTTCTCTTTTGATATGGGAAGGTCTCGAGTCTTGACCCATGGGCACCTGAAAACTCAGACTGGGCCACCAAAATGTTATAATTGTAATACTGGTACACTGTATATTATATACATGCAATACATGCCCTAAAAATGTGTCTGTACCCCAATGTACCCAAGGTTACTGGTAGTTTGGAGCCTGGATATTAGAGATCAATTTAACTTTTTACAGCTGTAAAGTGAAACTGAACGCTACATGTGTAGTCCTTTTGTTAATCAAGACTATTAAACATGCTTTAACATCCACTTCCTCTTATCCTGTCGGCATTTTGAGAACTGCGTTTTGTCAGTTTTGAGAGGGAGGAAAATGTCCCATTTGCATTTTGCAGAAACTGAGACAAGCATTGATCAAATAAACGTATTAATTTTATGATGAAATCATGACTTGTATCTCTTAAAGATGAAGTTGAGTTCTGGTCATCTGATTGCATTGTGAGAGAAACGGTGTGGAATCGACCAGAAAAGGTTGATCATCTAGCATATAAGAATTTATGTGTATTGCAAGGTTCTGGAATCATCAAAATAATAAGAAATTTGGCCAAGTCTTGGTAAAGTTACACTGTACACAGAAAGATGTATATGGGACTACACGAACCCATGGCGTAAAAATCCTACTCTCAAGTTTTACGATGTTACATGACATATTTAGAATATGAAGGCATTTGAAGAGCCATGCTTTGCAGGGAACATGTCTTGTCTGATGTTCTTCCACACTTGCATAATAAGAATGATAACGCTCACAAATTATTTTTCACCTCTTCCCAGAACTCAACCTTCTCTTTTAACACTGGGTTGGGGACGAATTCACATTTACATCTTCTTTTGTTGACTTAATCAACATTTGCAAATTTCCTGAACTATCTACCGTAATCAATTTTCTGGCAACTAGGGGTGACTATTATTATGCAAACAAACATGGGATTGTTATGTACAGTTGTAAATATAATTGCATCATTTAGTCTGTAAAACAAACATATTCAACCAGGATTCAACTTAGTCTATAAATTATGGTCTGACTGTTTTGTGCATGCACATACACTGTACAGTACATTAGTCATTACTGAATAGGAATTGATATTTTTAAAGGACATTTCCCCGTTACTGCTACATGTACGGACATAGATTCCAATTTTTAATACTGGAACACCATTGTAAAATTTGTTTTAGAAATTGGTTTGTTAACTTTCAAAAATGTTAATTTATTCCTCTAACATTTATATTCTTGACAAAATTCACCCTAGACCTGCTTTCAATGTGTAAATGATAAAGTGCTGCTCTTACACCTAACCTGTCCCTCAAAAAGTCGACTCAATAGACCCCGTTTTATATGCAAATGAGCTCCTCTTGTTACAGTGTCCTATCCCATTCACGGAGATTGAAGGAGTTGAGCCTATTGTAGGGCAGGTTATTCAAAGAGACTGAAAAGAAGTATTGATTGGGGCGCTCTCTCCCACTGAAGCGTGCCAAACGAGGTTTATAGCCTATTTTTTTCAATGGAAGTCGCCTTTGAGTTTGTAAGAGGATTTGAGGACAGTGTTTGTTCAGAGCACATGGAAGGATTAGGTCTTAGTGCACTCGAAATGTGAAAATTATTTGAAAATAATTTTATAAATTACACAGTACTATATTTGGGGGAGGGGGGGGGGGGTGGTTTTTGGAGACCTCATTGTTATGTGTTTCTAGAAATTATTAACCCAATCATGGCTCCACACTGACTTGTTTGTATTTTTTCCCACATGGGATTCAAATTATTATATTTTTTTAGTGTGTGTACTCTGTACAGCGTATACCTGTGCTCTCCCTTTAAGTTTCTTAATATTGTGGAGGGGGTAGAATTGATTGTTATCATCACAGTGCACAATTAACTGGTATGAAGCCTTTTTTTTATAGATATATGAGCAATGTTGTCTTATTCTCAACCACTGTTCATGTGTACTGAAAAGCATTGCTACACTGGTAGAATAATGTCTTACAAGGTATGCTCCAAACATAGTACATGTAGGTCCATGCTCCAAGTCTATCCAC